CTGCTGACCTCTTGATCCGCCGGCCTCGGCCTCCCAGAGTGCTGGGATTACAGGCGTGAGCCACCACACCCAGCCTTTTTTTTTTTTTTTTTTTTAAAGACAGGGTCTTGCTCTGTCACTGAGGCTGGAGTGTAGGGGCATGATCTTGGCTCACTGCAGCCTCCACCTTGAGCCTCCTCCTGCCTTAGCCTCCCAAGTAGCTGGGACTACAGACGCATGCTACCATGTCTGGCCAATTTTTGTATTTTTTGTAGACATGAGGTATCGCCATGTTGCCCAGGCTGGTAACTTCAGAGCTCAGGTGATCTGCCCACCTTGGCCTCCCAAAGTGATGGGGTTACAGGTGTGTGTTTATTTCTATCTAATTATTTACATAAACACAATGTATTTTTATATTGTGTATCTCTTCTGCTACAATGTAAATTCTATGAGAGTAGTAACTTTGTCTGTCTCAACACTGTTTTTCGTAATTTGGTGCATAGTAGGCACTCAGATGCTTAAAGGAATGAATGGTGTTTTAATTCCACTTTACTAAACCCAGATCTCCCTTTGGACATTGTTATCTATGTGTTTTCAAAGAAATGTAATCATAATTTGACAGAAATCCTTGAGAGGCAGAACTAACAGTGAGGGATTGGGCAGGGTTCAGATGTTAAGAACAGTAAGCTCAACAGGATGTGATTGCTTATGCCTATAACCCTAGCACTCTAGGAGGCTGAGGTGGGATGATTGCTTGAGGCCAAGAGTTTGAGATCAGCCTGGGCAACATAGTGAGACCTCATCACTACCAACAAAAATAAGTAAATAAACGTACATGGTGGCATATGCCCATAGTCCTAGCTACTTGGGAGGCTGTAGTGGGAGGATAGCTTGAGTACAGAAGTTTGAGGCTGCAGTGAGCTATGACTGTGGCATTGCATGTTAGCCTGGGCAATACAGCAAGACCTGTCTCTAAATTAAAAAAAAAAAAAAGTATTCTAGTTTTCTATGCAATGGATTATATCTCCTGTGGATTTAGAGCAGTATTATATCACAATTTTAGGCATTTGGTAGGCTTAAACGAATGACAAAAAGTTACTAAATCTCTGTCACACAGTTTATACAGATGTCAGTGATGTATTGATTATAGAGGTTTTCTACTGTTGCTGCATCTTATTTTTATTTGTTTACATGTCTTTTCTTATTTTAGTGTCTTTAAAAGGTTGATAATCACTGCTGAGTGTGTTTCTCAAACAATTTAATTTCAGAAGCCTACAAGAAAGTACAAGATTTAGTCAACTTGTTGAAGAGCTATTGAAAATCATTCATGCTTTTCAGCTTGACACAGGTTTGCAGTGTAAGTATTGAATATCCCACGAATGACACTCAAGTGCTGTCCATAAAAACTCAGGAAGTTTGAACAATTACTTTCTGTGACGTGATAAGACCTTTTAGTCTAGGTTAATTTTAGTTCTGTATCTGTAATCTGTTTTAAAAAAATTACTCCCACTGGTCTCACACCTTATTTTATCAATTGTAAGGTGCACATTTTTCACATCTTAACATCTCTGAAATTGGGAGCATTTTACTATTGATGGTGTGTCATTTGTTTAATTTGAGTGCTTGCTTTCTTAGTGATACAGAAAATAATAGTGCAGCTTACATTGTTGGTATCTTAACTTTAGTGAAATACAGTATTGATAGGCAGATTTCTTTTTTTTTCTTTTTTTTTCTTTTTTTTTTTTTTTTTGAGACGGAGTCTCTCTTTGTTGCCCAGGCTGGAGTGCAATGGCGCGATTTTGGCTCATTGCATCCTCCGCCTCCCAGGTTCAAGCGATTCTCCTGCCTCAGCCTCCCGAGTAGCTGGGATTACAGGTATGTGCCACCACGCCCAGCTAATTTTGTATTTTTAGTAGAGAGGGTGTTTCACTGTGTTGCCCAGGCTGATCTCGAACTCCTGACCTCAGGTGATCTGCCCGCCTCAGTCTTCCAAAGTGCTGGGATTACAGGCATGAGCCACTGTGCCCGGCCAAGAGTATAACTTTATTCTTTTACATGTGGGTATATTCTTGTCCCAACACTATTTGTTAAAAAAACAAAAAGTATTATTTTCCCATTTAATCATCTATGGCCTGGGTACGGTGGCTCATGCCTGTAATCCCAGCACTCTGGGAGGCCAAGGCAGGTGGATCAATTTGAGGCCAGGAGTTCAAGACTAGCGTGGCCAACATGGTATAACTAAAAATACAAAAAATTAGCTTGGCGTGGTGGTACATGTCTGTAATCCCAGCTACTCGGGAGGCTGAGGTATGAGAATTGTTTGAGCCTGCAGTGAGCCGAGATTGTGTCGCTACCCTTCAGCCTGGGTGATAGAGCGAGACCCTGTCTCGAAAAAAAAACTAAGAATATAAAAATCGTCTGGTATTTATTATTGTTGAAAATTACTTGATCACAGATGTATGTATCAGTTTATTTCTGTACTGTCAATTCTATTTTATTGACGTATGTGTCTATTCTTATGCTATTACCACACTGTCTTGATTACTGTAGCTTTGTGGTGAGGTGTTGAGATTTTAAACTAATTATAAGCATCTTATATGAACTACTTACCATTTACATTTGATTATGCAACATGAAATAATGAATATATCATTAAATATGTCATATTAAGTTTTATGTGATCATAACAGTAAGCCATATGCATGTAAGTTCAGTTTTCATAGATCATTGCTTATGTAGTTTAGGTTTTTGCTTATGCGGCATCTAAAAACAATTAGGAAACTATAGCTTGTAATTCACCTGCCATTACTTTTTAAATGGCTCTTAAGGGCACTTGTGAGATTATCTTTTCATGGCTGTTTGCCTTTTGAGTAATCTCTCTACAAAAGGAAGTAACTTAAATTGTTCTTTCTTTATAATTTATAGATTTTGCATGCTGAAACTTCTCAACCAGAAGAAAGGGCCTTCACAGTGTCCTTTGTGTAAGAATGATATAACCAAAAGGTATATAATTTGGTAATGATGCTAGGTTGGAAGCAACAACAGTAGGAAAAAGTAGAAATTATTTAATAACATAGCTAGCGTTCCTATAAAACCATTCATCAGTAGAAAAATTTATAAAAGAGTTTTTAGCAGACAGTAAATTATTTCCAAAGTTATTTTCCTGAAAGTTTTATAGGATATCTGTCTTATACAGGTATTAGAAACTTACTGCCTTTCTCTAATGCTTCTAAATACTGTAAAAACTTGCAGACTTATGTAAAGTAGGGCTGTATCGCTGTGCCCCCATTGTCTGCTAATCTTGTTTTTATTTTTTCATTGTGCTTCCTTTTCTTTTCTTTTCTTTTTTCTTTGAGACGGAGGCTAGAGTGCAGTGGCACGATCTCGGCTCACTGCAAACTGTGCCTCCTGGGTTCACGCCATTCTGCCTCAGCCTCCCGAGTAGCTGGGACTACAGGCGCCCGCCACCTCGCCCGGCTACTTTTTGGTATTTTTTTTTTTAGTAGAGACGGGGTTTTACCGTGTTAGCCAGGATGGTCTCGATCTCCTGACCTCGTGATCCGCCCGTCTCGGCCTCCCAAAGTGCTGGGATTACAGGCTTGAGCCACCGCGCCCGGCCAGGCAGATTTCTTAGTGTTAAGGTGGAAGACAAGGACTCTAAGTAAGTTTGATGGTCTTGTATTTGTTTTTGTTTCCTAGGAGTAAAATTTCCAGTTGATTTTTTAAAATTTGATTTTTAAAAAAATCACAGGTAACCTTAATGCATTGTCTTAACACAACAAAGAGCATACATAGGATTTCTCTTGGTTTCTTTGATTATAATTCATACATTTTTCTCTAACTGCAAACATAATGTTTTCCCTTGTAATTTACAGTTGCAAACAGTTACAATTTTGCAAAAAAGGAAAATCACTCTCCTGAACATCTAAAAGATGAAGTTTCTATCATCCAAAGTATGGGCTACAGAAACCGTGCCAAAAGACTTCTACAGAGTGAACCCGAAAATCCTTCCTTGGTAAAACCATTTGTTTTCTTCTTCTTCTTCTTTTTTTTTTTTTTTTTTTTTTGAGACGGAGTCTTGCTCTGTGGCCCAGGTTGGAAGCAGTCCTCCTGCCTCAGCCCCTCTAGTAGCTGGGATTACAGGCATGCGCCACCATGCCCAGCTAATTTTTGTATTTTTAGTAGAGACGGGGTTTCATCATGTTGGCCAGGCTGGTCTCAAACTCCTGACCTCAGGTGATCCACCCACCTCGGCCACCCAGAGTGCTGGGATTACAGGTGTGAGCCACTGTGCCTGGCCAGTAAACCCATTTTCATTTATTCTGGCACCATCTCTTTATTGAGCATTGTGAGTATGTTAGTGTATGTGCTAGATGCTCATAGATTTATATAAAAAGTTAATGAAGAAGGAAAGATGGTATATTCAGTGGTTAGACAAGTGTTCGAATCAGTTAGAGTTCAGAGAAGGTCAGGGTACCTGGTATGATCAAGAGAGAGACCTTACAGCCAGGTGAGGTGGATGTACCTATAATCCTAGCTACTTGGGAGGCTGAAATGGGAGGATCACTTGAGCCCATGTTTGAGACCATCCCAGGCAACATAGCAAAATCCCCATCAGATACACCAAAAAGACAGATTTTTTTTTATTTTTTATTTTTTTGAGACAGAGTCTCACTCTGTCACCCAGGTGCCCAGGCTGGAGTGCAGTGACACGATGTCAGTTCACTGCAACCTCTGCCTCCCAGGTTCAAGCGATTCTCCTGCCTCAGCCTCCTGAGTAGCTGGGACTACAGGGGCATGCCACCAGACCTGGCTAATTTTTGTAATTTTAGCAGAAACGGGGTTTCACCATATTGGTCAGGCTGGTCTTGAATTCCTGACCTCAGGTGATCCACCCACCTTGGCCTCTCAAAGTGCTGGGATTACAGGCATGAGCCACCACGCCCAGCCAAAAAAGAGAGCTCTTATAGGCCCTTCCTTGCTTTGGAGCTTTATCTGCTCTGTGATGCTTATCTAAAATAGCTGTAAGTTCACTGATATTTTTAAGCATTTGGAAATTACTTCAGCTGGGTGTCATGGCTCATGATTGTAATCCCAACACTTTGGGAGGCTGAGGTAGGAAGTCCTTTGAGCCCAGTGTAGGCAACACAGTGAGACACTGTCTCTACAATTTAAAAAAAAAAAAGCCGGGTGCCATGGCTCACGCCTGTAATCCCAGCACTGGGAGGCTTGAGGATTGCCTGAGCTCAGGAGTTCAAGACCAGTTTGGGCAATATAGCAAGTCCTTGTCTATTTTAAAAGTGTATTTAAATTATCCGGGCATGGTGGTGTGTGCCTGTAGTCGCAGCTACTTGGGAAGCTGAGATAGGAGGATCACTTGAGTTCAGGAGATGTAGACTACTGTGAGCTATGATCACTCTACCACGCAGCGACAAAGCAAGACCTAGTTGCAAAAAAAAAAAAAAA